CAGGAACTTGAAAAAAAGAAGAATAATCTTTTTTTTTGACAAAGGTAACAGAAAAAGAAGAATATCTTGTTTATTTTTCTATTATTTTTGCTATAATCTTTTATCCTGATTAGCCTGCTTGAGCAAACTTTTCTGATTATCCTGATTAGCCTGCTTGAGCAAACTTTTCTATTATTTTTGCTATAATCTTTTATGCTGCAACTCAAGACTTTTCCTGAAGTAGTTTATCTGTGTGCTAATAGGGGATACAAACGGTTTTTTAGACGAGCATTGCTTGAGACTTCAGATTATTTGAAGGATGACTGCTTGAAGATTAATTGCACTGTTGGAGTTGTGCGCTCTACAATAGAGTGTTCGAACTTGCATACAATTCAGGTCCCAGACCAGGACATGGGAGCACATTTTGGCATGCTTTTGGAAAATATGGAAGCTTCAGATGTTATTTTCAATGTGGCTGGTGAAATGTTTCATGCCCATAAGTTGGTATTGGCTGCTCGTTCTCCTGTATTCCACACTGAATTTTTGTGTGGACATGAAGGCGATGCGCAGGAAATTGTGGTCAATGATATGGAACCTGAGGTCTTCAAAGTGAGCATCTCCTTTTATCTTATTATGGCTATTTTCTCTTAGACACTCTTATCTCTTCTTGTTTTTTCAATGTATATCTGTTTTTAATATCATTATCATATTTCTCCATCTGTCTGGCTGTAATTGTTTCTTCATATTTACTTTTGCCATAAACTGATTAGAGTTCTTTCAAACTAGAAGTGGAATTCTAACTCACTACTCTTTGGATTTTTCTTGTACAAGGCTATGCTGCACTTCATATACAAAGATGCTCTTGTAGAAGAAGAGCTAGAAGCAACTAGAACTTCTACTACCCCCTGTATATCTGACACTCTGACAGCAAAATTGTTATCAGCAGCTGATCGGTATGATTTAACACGACTGAGGAGGTTGTGTGAGTCTCATCTTTGCAAAGATATCTCTATCAACTCTGTTGCACAAATTCTTGCTTTAGCAGACCGTTACCATGCCGCTGAGCTCAAATCAGTTTGCCTAAGTTTTTCTGCTGAAAATCTTTCTGGTACGAGATATTTGCATTTGCATCATGTTCCCTTCTTTGTGGATATCTCATGCTTTTAGATTTAAATTGTTTGTATCTTCACATGTTGGATTGGAACAAAAACTTAAATGCTATGTTTTGTTGTATCTTTGCAATGAGACATTGACCATGCGCAAGACTCCTCATCTTCTCGTTTTATAGTCCTATCATGTTTGTCATTTGATGCACCACTTCTTCAGTCAACATTCCTTCTCAGATGTCATTGCCACCCACCTCCCTACCTCTTTCTTTATCTCTTTATTGTAGTTTGCCTGTAGTGGACCTGTAGCAAGAGGTAGGGAGGTGGGTGGCAATGACATCTGAGAAGGAATGTTGACTGAAGCAGTGGTGCATCAAATGACAAACATAATAGTACTATATAACGAGAAGATGAGGAGTTTTGCGCATGGTCAATGTCTCATAGCAAAGATACAACAAAACATAGCATTAAGTTTGTTCCAATCCAACATGAATGAATGTATAATAAGGAGGAAATCACAAACCATTCCATTAACTAATAGGAAATTATTTAATTGCCAAACCACCGTAAACTTTCTGACAGAATTGTTGGGTACTTAGCGAGTATGTGCAATTAGTTTTAGCGCAATGTGATTGTTAATGACTCTCGTAAAGAACTAGATCTTATACAGTTTTGGAATACATATAGTGGCTGCTGAGGATTCTCTAAAAATAATTTGACCCTATTTAGCTGACTGCAATATAGTGAATGAGTGGTTTTGGTTGGTGTGTCATAGACTTCCATCTCTTATATAATGGATTTTAACCACTGAAATTACATGCTTATGGAAAATGAACTTGAAATGACAAGATAAAATATGTATGTATGGATGTGTTGTTCTCTTGTAGGCCTTCTCCCAAAAGAATTCTAGAAATTGGAAGTGCTGCAATATGTTTTCTACCGGCGAGATTTTAACTCTCTTGTTAGGTTGTGGTGCTCATACACAGCCAGTTTGTGGCATGATGCTAAGTATGTCTCAGGTAGTTTCTAATAAGAGTTAACAGAGAGCAAGAAATATAGATGTCAAGCAGCTTTGGTAGTTAGGATGCCGCTAATCGGCTAATGGTCGTACAATATAGTCAAAATCTCTTGTAAAGATAGAATCAGAAACTAAGAATTATCTATATAGATGTTGAAACATCTTTAGCCACTAAAAAAACCCTACACTCTTGAGAGTCAAAAGGTGTGGTACTTAGCAAGGCAGCCTTTTGGCTCAAGTGTGAAGGGATGTCAAATGTCTGTAGAAAAGACTGAAAGAGTTACAATCCTTGTTGACTGATTCAGAAAGGAAAAATGAATAGCTTATGGCCTGTGTAGTTGGGTTCAACATGTAAATCTAAGGGGGTGTGAAACTATTTTTCATGGAAACTGTTTTATTGGAAAATATTGGGTTCGGGGGTGGGTGGGATGGTCAAGGGGTGATGTGGATTGGTGATGTTGGGTGGATGGGGGAGGAGAAAATGAACTTGGAATGTCACTTATAGAACTTGTAGTTGGGTTCAACATATAAATCTAAGGGGGTGTGAAACTATTTTTCATGGAAACTGTTTTATTGGAAAATATTGGGTTCGGGGGTGGGTGGGATGGTCAAGGGGTGATGTGGATTGGTGATGTTGGGTGGATGGGGGAGGAGAAAATGAACTTGGAATGTCACTTATAGAACTTGTAGTTGGGTTCAACATATAAATCTAAGGGGGTGTGAAACTATTTTTCATGGAAACTGTTTTATTGGAAAATATTGGGTTCGGGGGTGGGTGGGATGGTCAAGGGGTGATGTGGATTGGTGATGTTGGGTGGATGGAGGAGGAGACAATAAACTTGGAATGTCACTTATAGAGCTTGTTTTCTCATCTTCATTCATTAGAGAAGTCATTTTCCTCATTTCTAAGGAGCTTGTTTTCCTTGGAGAAAGTGTTTTCTAAAATATTTTGACCAAGCGAACATGAGAAAATTGGAAACATAAAATGTTTTCCTCCATACCAAACACACTTTAAATGTGCTGTTTCTAGTGCTTTTTGTGGGAACTATAAAGGCCGCTTCTTTTGGAAGTAGATTTTGACTTTTGTTCTCGAACAAGTTTTCTGATAAACCATTGAAACTGATTATGAGAATCAGAAGTTTCTACAGAAGCTCTTCTCAAAAGTTTCTACAGGAGTCTGAAAATAATTTTTGAGTTCCTTAAACTCTTCGGAGTAAGCTATGCTACAGCATGAGAGATTGCTATTAATTTGAATGTTGTTATGAATGCCATACATTACCTTGCTTATGCTAACAGCTGATTACTGAGTTTAGTTGGATTCTGAATTCTTTTACTACATCCAAAAGTAACATATTTTGAATTTGCATCTGTTAAGTGAGGATTCATATAGCCGATCCCTACTTGTATGAGACTAAGGCGTAGTTATTATTGTTGTTGTTACCTGTTGTGTTCCCATTTAAAAATAAATAAATTGATCTGTTGTGTTCTGTAATTTTCTCACACTACAGATTCCCATTCATCTATTATTTCTTTGTATTTTGGCAGCTGTGATGCAATCAGATGGCTTTGAGTACCTTAAAGAAAATTGCCCAGCTCTTCAGTCAGAGCTTCTTAAAACTGTGGCAGGTTGTGAGGATGACAGTAGCAGTGGAGGTGGGAAGTCTAAAAGCGTTTGGGCACAACTTTCAGACGGTGGTGATACCAACGGGAGGAGGATCAGGCAAAGGACCTGATTTTAGATGTAGGAAATTGTTAAAATTTGTTGCATGTATATTTGGGGGGGATGTGCTGGAAATGTTGGGAAACTACAACAATAGTAATAGAAAGGTAAATGTTCATTAGGTTTCTGTGACATCTTTGATGAACGTCTCTTGTGTGTAATGTATAACCTAAAAGTTGCTAAATACACCAATGTGTACTTTCGTGACATTAGCGAGTTCCGGTGTGACCCCGTGCTATTATGACAAGTAGGCTTTTGCATGAATAATCAGTAGTTAGAGTTTCTAGTTGTGTTGTTAGAGTCTCCGTGTTTTGTTGATGTGAGACTTCTTATCTTAAGTTGAGGTGTAGACTCAGCGTCCTCGTTGAGCTGAGGTTTGTCTAGACTTAGCACTGAGTTTGCCTTGCCTTGCCTTCTCAGGATTTGTCTAAACTTAGTTGAACTATGACTCACATCGACAAGGCTGACATATGAGTGACTTTGATACCATTTGTATTGGCCCACCTGCCTTATCATAATTTGCTTGACCTCAGTTGAATTCTGGCCTTCATCGACAAGGCTGACACATGAGTGACTTTGGTACCATTTTGTATTGGTTCACCTTTCTAGTGATATTGTCTTGCTCTAGGTTTAGGCCCGCACGACCTTAAAACGCGTCACTAGTGTGTAAGACCTGTTTACTTATATACCCAACTTCTTTCATTTGTTTTTATCGATATGGAACTTTTTATTTTAAGCTAAGGTGTCACATTTTTATTGTTTGTTTTGGGAGGAGAGATAAATCTTATGCTTTTTTTGCCAGGAAAAATAGTTTCTTGTTCTACTTAGCCTGTTAGCCAACACACCCCGTTATTGAAAACTACCTTAATATCTGGAGAGACAAACATCTTTTTTCTTTTTAGTTTGCCACCCAAATCTTCGGTATCTGCCTGATTGATTCGAATTTGTGTCATGTAAGGTCCACTTCCATTTGAATTCGCCCCACGTGAAGTCCATGAAAGCCCTTCCTACCAAGATGTTATTGATTCTCAGAGCTTGAATCTGAGACCTCTATTTAAGAGTAGTAGGATCATATCTATTCCTCCACTACATGGGTCACTAGAGACGAATATATTCAATTTGTGCTTTTGCTGGCTATCATTTGAACTGAGTTCATGTAGCAGTGAAACATATTTGATCAATTCAGTACAACAAAACTGAATTTTATATCCAGAAAACCAGCTTCAGCAGTACTGAAGATGACTAACAGTTTTACAAGCTATAACTAATAAGACCAATGTTCTTACAACAGAAAAGGTTTACAGAGGACACAATGATACATTGTCTTGTATTGCTGTGTAAGCGGAGGAAGTTACATTTTTATCAAAATTATGTTTGGAAATCATGCTCTAGTTGAGGTAGAACAATCACGTCCATCAACGGATAATGTGGCTACTCAGTTAGCTACTTTCTTGCAGTCCCTGCTATAACCATAAAAAAGGAGCAGACCCCAAAAGCATATTTGATATGGTTCTTACTCCATTTTGTCGTGAGCCCAATCAGTTGAAGAAAAGTACATATCAGTCTCGGAAAACAAATCGTGGTTTGATGTATCATCATTCCCAGCAGTGGGAGTGAAGTTAGCCATCTCTTGATTAATATTGCATCCTTCAAAATCATAGAAAAATCAAATGACATAAGCATTTAAACACTTGTGAATGTGTAGATAATTAGGATAAGTCAATTCAGTAACCATTCTTACCCATCAAAGGCGCTATTGACTGGTGGTCCTCCAATGAACCTCCACTGCTAGGGGTGTATTCACTAAACACCGATGTAATAGTATGACCTGAAGGGGTGATTGCATCAGGGTTAGTTCCCCACTGAATCTCTTGGAGAACAGGACAAGAATCTGGACCTGCATCACGAGAAGTTTCTTGATGTGAATTATTCCTTGAAGCGTTGGGTGTTTGTGATCCATAAAGTATGGCATGCAATAGATCACTGCTTTGGGGTGACAGACTGTAAGAATCAGTATACTCATTTGGAGGAGATTGAATAAAAGTATTGGAGGACTCAATTGAAGGAACTGAGGAAGGTGAATCCCAACTCGTCATCGGAGTTTGGAATGAAGGGAGCTCCAGCTTACCCTTCAATTTGGGCTCTGAAGAAGAGGCATGGATGCCAGGAATGTCACCGGCGGATGATGGGTGATAATTAGATGTCAGATTACGAGTATACAACGAAGAAAACCCCAAGGATTGAGTAAACAAAGAACCATCATTTTGATATTGATGGTGAGCTTGAGAAAGGTCAACATTTTGATCAGAGAACCAGGCTTCTGATCCTCGTATACGCTTGGATGAATGAACTGTTGAGCGGACAGAATGAGTATTCCAGGAAGAATTAAGACCCTGATCACGTAAGCTAGTTGCAGGAGTATCAAGAAAGCTACTAAAACCAATATTAAGAAGCCCCGGAGGATACAACTGCTGACTAGGTTCAAAATTTCTGTTTTCCGCAGTTGGAATCTCAACATTGTTAATAGGTAAGAGATGAGGATCTGAATTTGCAGAGGATGATGTGGCCAGCTCCTTATTTTGTTTGTCCTCACTAAATTCCTGGAAAAAAACACCTAGAGGGAGCATATGTTTTTCTGCACGCCGTTGTCTCTTTAGTCTGGTGTTCCAGAAGTTCTTTATATCATTGTCTGTGCGGCCAGGGAACTGAGAGGATAGAAGGGCCATGAAAAAATAAATTAATAGCCATTATTCAACTTCGAAGAATGTGTCATATGGCTACCAACCACTCAAATTGAGAAAGTTTACACAAAATCAGTATTAGAAAATGAAAGCTATACAACTAAGTCTTTTGAAAGAAAGAGGAGAGTCCACATTTTTAGTCCACGAAAAGTAATATTCAAATATGATTTGCATACAAGTTTCGCCACACATAAGACCACCATCTTTTACTGCATAACATATTCTGCAAGAGTTCAATTAAAGCAACATCCAGATGAAGTAAAACGGGCATGAATATTATAAAAGATAGGAAAGGACAGAGAGAATCATCACTAGCAGATAGAGGTAGCACTCCGTAATTTCATTCTCTCTTTTTTGCCTGGAAATATAATACTGGCTATCTACCCCATTCATTTGAATCAGAACATGTCCCGGTCTTCGCCAAGGGATCACTAACAACCAACCAACCAATCAACAAATAGGTCTTGATCCAAACTACTCACAGCCCGCTATGTGAATCCTCTATATAAAAAAATATAAAAAAGATGAATCCTCCATATCTGGTTTATTCGGATCCCTCTCATTCCAACAATGATAAAAATTGTCTTTTAAGGCAAATTAAGAGTTAACAAAATCTAGTATAGTTCTCTAAATCTCATAGTTACTCCTACCCAAACCTAATGCAAGTGTAACAATAACTAAATGACTTTTTGATAACGCTGTATGAACCTTACCAACCACACCTAATATTACATATAAGTATGTTGAGGCTAAACTTTAGAGGCAGACCTACGTTCAGAGATAAAGGGACATAAGGGTGCGCTGACACTCACCAGTTTCTGCTATGTTTCGTACATAACTTTGAAGAAAGATATATAATTAAACTAAACTGGCACCCGCCACCACAACAGTCTAACGAAAGTACCAAAACAATTTTTTTTCAAAGCCGACCCTGACTTTTGACCAAGAAAATGACACTAAAGTCTATATACAAGAATCCATATACAGTAACCAAGTAGGGAGTTAGAGCAAGAATTAAATGGTAATAAGAGAAAATGACACATTTTTGTTTACCAAAACTATATATTGAACTGTAACTAATATCCCTGGGAATAGTTAAGATTTATATCACATAGCATTCTTAGCTTTTAATCATTTCATATAGTTTTGTCTGTAACAATAAGGTAGCTTCTGGAAAAGAAAATGAGACGTGATGCAAACCTCAGCAGCCATTCGTGCCCATTTGTTTCCTATCTTAGCGTGCATTTCAATTATGAGTTCCTCTTCCTCCTGAGTGAAAGCACCTTTCTTTAAATCTGGTTTTAGGTGATTTGCCCACCGCAAACGGCAACTTTTCCCACAGCGAGCAAGTCCTGTTCGCCTGTGGACAGAACTCCAATTCCCCTCCCCATACTTTGCAACGTAATCCATTAAAATCGCGTCTTCTGCTTTAATCCAAGGACCTTTTTTCAGTGGGCTACCTTCTCTTATATTTCTTCCAGCATTAGCTTCTTTAACAGATGTCGAATCTATGCCAACTTCTGAAGTCATCCTGTCAACACATTCAGTTGTCATACACATGTCTAAAATTGTTGAACACTTATAGTATGTAACGTCCAATGAAATGGGATATACAATTGATAATTACGACGTCAAGGTGTAATAAAAACACGTGCCAAATTGCATGACCTCATTCATGAGTATGACAAAGCTAGTCAAGTATCCAATCAGAAGTGGGTGACAATAAAGAAATGGTCAACTTTGAGAGGAAAGATTTAGAATATATTTTTGGAAAACGACAACAAGGAAAAGATAAATAACGATAACGACGAAAATGGATAACTTATTCTGAATTTAACAGACACGGATAAACCAAACTTTTGAAAACCTATAACCGCTCCTTATCTGACGTAACAACTAAGTAAGACAACAACACGTTCTTGGGGATAAAACACGGAGTGTAGAGGAAAATGATTATCTCAAATTTGCAAGGAAAACCTCATTGGTTGAGAGTCGAGACCCGTATACAACAACGGAAATGATATCTACTGACTACCATAAAGCAAGTTAACATACTTTTAAATTTCATAGCTGTTGAATAAGAAGATGCAAATATATCAACATCAAAATCAGCACCTGAAGAACTCACGTGATTTTTCTTTTAAAGAACACTCACTTTTTTTTGGAATAGTTTTCACTTTATTTCAAAATCAGAGTTTGGTTATAAAATTTCCAAATCCAACTTGCAGTTTGGATTCCAAATTTGGAGTAGTGCTCCAAACCTTCTTTCCAACTCCATCTTCATAAATTCCAAATAAAGTGTTCTTTCTTTCCTTTGCAAAAAAGTATAACCAAACACAATTCCAACTTCATAAATTCCAACAACAACAACAACATACCCAGTGTAATCCCACAAGTGGGGTATGGGTGGTAGAGTGTACAAGACCTTACCGCTACCTCGTAGAGATAGAGAGGTTGTTTCCAATAGACCTTCAGCTTAAATAAAGCATGCCAAATAATTTGGAAAGAGACAACGCATGATCAAATTACATGAGGCCAAAAATAATCTGGTGTAATCCCACAAGTGGGGCCTGGGGAGGGTAGAGTGTAAGCATACCTTACCCCTACCTCGTTGAGATAGAGAGATTGTTTCGATGGACCCTCAGCTTAGTTAAAACTTGCCAAACAGTTTGAAAAGGGGATACAACTTCATAAATTCCAAATAATGTAAAAAGTATTTGAAATCCATGGCCAAATGCCTACTTTAAGAAATGCTAAAAAATGCAAATTTAACATGAATTTACAAAGTTGAACCTCAAACCTCAGCTTCAAAATGGTTTGGTATTAAATCTAACACCAAAAAAGCACAATGTCTCCGCTTAATTCAAAGCTCAAGATAGAAAACCTCAGTTATACCAACAAAGGAACAACATAAATCTTAAAGAAAATGCTAAAAACACAACCTGAATTTACAAAGCAAAACCTCAAACCTCAGCTTCAAAATGGTCAGATATCAAATCTTACATCAAAAAAATACAATGCCTCAGCTTAATTCAAAGCTCAAGATGGAAAACCTCAGTTATATCAACAAAGGATCAGCATAGATCTTAATGAAAATGATAAAAACACAACATGAATTTACATAGTAGAACCTTAAAACTCAGCTTCAAAATGGTTTGGTATCAAATCGAACACCAAAGAAAAACACAATGCCTCAGCTCAACTCAAAGCTCAAGATGGAAAATCTCAGTTATACCAACAAGGAACAACATAAATCTTAAAGAAAATGCTATAAACACAAGCTGAATCTAAAATTTAGAGAAACTGAGCTTCCATTAAACTTTAATCTCAATCCCAGTCAAGCATTTTAGGTTTTTACCTGAATGACAACGGCTGAAGAAGCTGCCGACAATGTCTTGGACCAAACTACTGGTGATCAGTTCCTTCAAGAAACAACAAAATACAAACACACACAAACTAAATAGTTGAAAAAACCAAGAATTCAATCGAATTGAACCAAGAAAATGCTTAAAACCCCAAATTCACAAAGAAGTAAAGAACCCCACAGCTACAACTTCAACACCCACAAGAAAAACTCATACAAATCTGACCAAACTTCTCTAGAACCTTCACTTTTTTGAGGGGTTAAAAGCACAGACAAAAAGGGAAAGAACACAAAGCTACAATGTGGAACCAAGAAAATGCTCAACTAAAAAACAAATGGGCAAAAGAGAAAAGAAGAGTAATCTAAAGAACAAAATGTCTTGAGACTAATATGTGTCAGCTGATTTTTATTTTTTTGAAACTGGTAACATTATGACACAACATGAATTTACAAAGCAAAACCTCAAAACTCAGCTTCAAAATGGTTTGGTATCAAATGTAACACCCAAAAAGAAACATAATGCCTCAGCTTAACTCAAAGCTCAAGATGGAAAATCTCAGTTATGCCAACAAGGAACAACATAAATCTTAAAGAAAATGCTAAAAACACAACATGAATTTAGAGAAAAACCTCAAAACTCAGCTTAAAAATGGTTTGGTATCAAATCTAACACCGAAGAAAAAAACACAATGCCTCAGCTTAACTCAAAGCTCAAGAAGGAAAATCTCAGTTATACCAACAAGGAACAACATAAATCTAGAAGAAAATGCTAAAAACACAACATGAGTTACAAAGAAAACCCTCAAAACTCAGCTTCAAAATGGTTTGGTATCAAATCTCATATGAAGAAAATACAATGCCTCAGCTTAATTCAAAGCTCAAGATAGAAAACCTCAGTTATACCAACAAAGGAACATCATAAATCGCTAAAAATACAACATGATTTTTTTTTGAAACTGGTAACATGAAAACACAACATGAATATACAAAGCAAAACCTCAAAACTCAGCTTCAAAATGGTTTGATATCAAATCTAACACCAAAAAAACACAATGCCGAAGCTTAATTCAAATCTCAAGAGTGAAAACCTTAGGTATACCAACAAAGGAACAACATAACTCTTAAAGAAAATGCTAAGAAAACACAACATGCTTTTTTTTGTTTTGGAAACTGGTAACATTATAACACAACATGAATTTACAAAGCAAAACCTCAAAACTCAGCTTCAAAATGGTTTGATGTTTGATATGAAATCTAACACCAAAAAAAAAAACACAATGCCTAAGCATAATTCAAAGCTCAAGATGGAAAACCTCAGTTATACAACAACACAAGCTGAAAGCTAAACTTCAGAGAAACTGATCTTCCATAAAACTTCAATCACAACCCCAATTGAGCATTTTAGGTTTATACCTGAATAACAACAGCTTAACAAGCTGTCTTAGACCAAAACACAAACACCCACAAACTAAATAGTTGAAAAAACCAAGAATTCAATAGAATTGAACCCCCAAAAATGCTTAAAACCCCAAATTCACAAAAAAGAAAGAACCCCACAACTATAACTTGAACACCCACAATTCACAACTCAACTTATATAGGCAAAACTTGTCTAGAACCTTCCCCCTTTTGAGGTGTCAAAAACTCTTAAAACAAGGGAGAGAACACAATGTGAAATCAAGAAAATGGTGAACTAAAAACCAAATTAGCAAAAGAGCAATCTCTTGAGCTCATAGCTGAGTTGAACAAGTAATCAAACAATGAAAAGTAACAGTTACAACTATAAAGCTTACAACCTTTTTTTGTTTGTTTTTCTTTCATTCGGTGCCCATTGATCCCAATACCGCTTCCTACACCTCATTGATTCCAAACAATTTCGAAATCAACAGCAGAATTCACTGTTCTTTGGTGATTAAGCTTCTAATTTTGTATATTCTTGAGCATTTTTCATAGTTTGTGAGAAGTGAGTTTTTTACTTTCCATTGAATATTTGAAAGAAAAAAAAGATCTTTATATAGTTAGTTGAATTCATTTTTTTTTTTTTTTTAAGTCGAGATATATAAATTAAGTTTCTAGTTTAATCAGAACTAAGAGCTGCAGAGAGAGGTTCTAACCGTCTAGCTTAACATAATCAACTGTTACAAGTAGGTTAAGTTTTTAGTTCAATCAAAATTGAGAAATGAAGAGAGGTTCTAACCGGTCTAGCCTAACGTAATCAATAAATTAAGTTTTTAGTTCAATCAGAATTGAGAACTGCATATAGGTAATTCTAACCGGTCTAACCTAACGTAATCAATAAATTAAGTTTTTAGTTCAATCAGAATTGAGAACTGCATATAGGTAATTCTAACCGGTCTAACCTAACGTAATCAATAAATTAAGTTTTTAGTTCAATCAGAATTGAGAACTGCATATAGGTAATTCTAACCGGTCTAACCTAACGTAATCAATAAATTAAGTTTTTAGTTCAATCAGAATTGAGAACTGCATATAGGTAATTCTAACCGGTCTAACCTAACGTAATCAATAAATTAAGTTTTTAGTTCAATCAGAATTGAGAACTGCATATAGGTAATTCTAACCGGTCTAACCTAACGTAATCAATAAATTAAGTTTTTAGTTCAATCAGAATTGAGAACTGCATATAGGTAATTCTAACCGGTCTAACCTAACGTAATCAATAAATTAAGTTTTTAGTTCAATCAGAATTGAGAACTGCATATAGGTAATTCTAACCGGTCTAACCTAACGTAATCAATAAATTAAGTTTTTAGTTCAATCAGAATTGAGAACTGCAAAGAGGTTCTAACCGGTTTAGGTTAACGTAAACAACCGCATAAGCAAGGGAAAAATATATTGTGAAGACTCAACTCAAGATGATGGATTACTATTATTGTAGATAAATGTTTTTCCTTAACTGTGTTTAATGACATTTGATATGTCAACAAGGGGTTACTGAGAGATCTTGCATGGTTTATACATTAATTATATATGATGTACACATTTTTCAGTTGGTGTCAGATTATAAAAACTGAATGCTCGACAGTTCTGATGTCGCGGATGCTCTATAATTATTTGGAATTGAAATAGTGAGTCAATATAACTCTTGAACTGTATGCGTGGCTAACTTATGATTATATCTATTAGAAATATATAATGACGATTGTATATCATAGTCAATATCTAGGTACAAAAAAGGGGCATGAAATATGATCAACTATAATAGATACTCAATTTTTTTGTTAATAAGACTATCTTAGTAAATTAATTGTCTATAATAGGACTATCTTTATTAACTAAATTAAACACACTATTCTTTTGGCATATTTAGTAATCAATGGTTTGTAAGAACACTTGATTGATTAAGAGATAAGGGTCTGAAAAATATTCTAACTTTGGTCGGATTTGTTGTTGCGATACTAAATTTTCATGAGGACCTATTACCTCCCTAGACTATTTAATACTGTATGTTAAACATATATATTTGCCCACGTGGACATAAAAAATAATGCAAAATTATAAATAGTAATGTGTCCACATGGACACATATATACCTTTAAAATACACTACTAAATAATTCAGGTGGTAAAAAATACGGTATTAAATAATCTAGGGAGGTAATAGGTCCTTATGAAAGTTTATTATCGCAATAACAAATCCGACCAAAGTTGAATATTTTTCAGACCCTTATTAAACTAATTGTAGTAAATTGTGAGCTCCATAATAATGAGACTTTGATTTTAAAAAAAAGCAACCTTTTATGACATTAGAATAAAATTACATCTCAATAAAAATTAAATAATTTACGTCTGGAATAAAAGTAAATAAAATTTTAAAAATAAGAAATATGACTTTTTAAATATAAAATCAACTAGCAAATATTCAATTTAAAGTAAAAATAATTTGCACTATCATAGTCCAAATATAGTAAATACAATGATACAACAACAAAAATATACGTAGTTCTTAGCACTACCTCGTGAAAGTAGAGAGACTATTTTTGAAAGATTTTCGGCTCCAGTGCAACAACTTCAGATACAAAGAAGGAGACAGTGAAAAAATATACAGCAAGTAATAAAGTAACAATACAAAATCTACCAAAAAAGAGCCCAAAACAACCATACATTGAAATATCTTGTTTTTGGAATGTTGTAAAGGAGAAAATACATTTAGATAAATCATAGGATTTATGTGATTAGATTATGTAACTTAATTAAGCTATAATTACTTTAGGGCTAACCCATCGGTGGCCCCCTAAACTTGGCACCAACTTTCACTTAGGCACCTCAGGTGGGCGATGTTCATTTTAGACACCTCATGTAGGGTCTCGCTGTGTCATTTTGACACTTTTTATATTTTCAAAACCGCATTTTAAGTGCGTACATCCAGACGCCTCTTATGTGGAAAAATAAACGAATTGGTATGTGACACGTGGAAATTTTATTTTATTTTTTAAAATCTTAATTTTACTTTCTTTTTTTCTTTCTTCCAAGATCCCAAATCCCATACCCCCACCTCTTTTCTTCTTCTTCTTGCGCCTCCTTCCCCTTCATCTGTTCTTCTCCATCAAAAAGGCAAGAACATAGGTTAGTTTACAAAGTAAAATACGTTTTGGAGAAGGTAAGAATGTAAATCAATTTTTCCATTTGAAAGAAGTTGATTTCTTTTTTTGTTCCCTTCAAATCGATTTTGTTTTTGAATATGAATCAAGATGCAAATTCGATTTTCAAAGAAGATGGAAGAATCAAAGAGTTTAAAAAAGTTGTGTGGTGATGGAGGATGGTAGAAGGTGGGGAAGATGGAAGGGAGAAAGCAAGGAAGAAGAAGGAGAAGAAAATATTTACAAAAAATAATCAGAATATTTACAAAAAAGTCTCTGACGCGCTCAAAATTCGTGTAGCACACGTACTGTGCTTAGTCAGCAAAAAGTGTCAAAATGACACAGCGAGACCCTACATGAGGTGTCTAAAATGAACATTGCCCACTTGAGGTGCCTAAGTGAAAGTTGGTGCCAAATTTAGGGGGCCACCGATGGGTTAGCCCATTACTTTAAAAGGTATTTCATCAGGTGATTTGTTTAAATTAAAAAGGAAAGTGTAATAGAGTATATAAGTAAGAAGAATGCAATAAATTATATAGTCATGTGATTATATAATTAGGAAAGTGCAATTTAAGATGTTACATTAATTAGTGTTAAAAAGGGCGCGTAAAATTTGAATGGAAGAATATTATTTTATTAAAACTTCTTATATTTTATTTATAAATATTTTTTTTTATCGATTTTATTATAAAAATAAGGTCATATATAATAAAAAGGTCACCTAGTTCCGACTTGTTTTGAGGTATCATTTTTATCTTTGTTTGAACTTTTATTCATTTACTTTTACTATTTTTCATCTTTATTCATAATTGTGTTGATGAATTTGTTTGCATGTGTTTGAATCGGTTTTGGACGAAAGAAGTTAGAAATATTTCAGTGGGTGTTTGTTGTATCTGTTTAGGGAAAGATGATAAGGTTTCCGCCAGTGTTGAGAAAATGTGGGCCCCAATTTAGCAAATTTTGCTTTAAGACGGTGGATAAGAGAGATTTTGTTGGTTTCTTATAATGTGGCCCCTCCTATTCTTTGTTTTCGATTCTCTTTTCTTCATTTTTCTTCTTACTTTCTTGGCTCTCTTTTCTTCATTTTTCTTCCTTTTTTTAAAAAATAAAAATAAAAATACATCATTTGCTTTATATGGGATTAGTTGGTGGTTGTATTTTGTTATTAAATTTTGTGATTCCACATTATAAGAACAGGAGGAAGATAACATAGAAGCCAACTACTTTGTATATTATTTCACTCTATTGTTTGTCGGCTATCCAATGTAATATATATAGGAAAAATTACAGAAATCTCACATTTTAGTTTACTTATTACCATTATCTTACAAATCTCCAAAATTCCTCATTTTCGCGCATCAGATTAGTGAATCAACGCTTATTTTATTGTATCTCGCGCATCAGATTAATGTATCAGTGCTTATATTATTGTATCTCGCGCATCATATTAATGTATCAGAGCTATATAAGTGCTAATACATGCGCGAGATACAATAATATAAGCGTTGATACATTAATCTGATGCGATCAGATTAATGTATCAGAGCTATATAAGTGTTGATACATGCGCGAGATACAATAATATAAGAGCTGATACATTAATTTGATGCAAAAGATACAATAATATAAACGCTGATACACTAATCTGATGCGCGAAAATGGGGGATTTCTGTAATTATAAACTTTTAAGGGATAAATTGTAATTTTACCTTAAAAGTATGTGATTTCTGTAATTTGCCCTATATATATATAGAGTTGCAGTAGCACTAGAATACAAGTTATAATAGTTGAAACCTATCCGAACTCGAACTGTGATGGACACGTTCTAATACACATAATGTTATTAACGCTTCATAATATTTTATTATTTATTTTGTATATTATAGGAATGGTTAATGTAAACTAGTTATTTCACTATTGGTTGTATATAGATTACTTAGTCAGAAATTGTATATTTCAAAAAATGATGCACATCTGAAAAGAATAGGATTCTGACCTTTTGTATTTGATAGATATAACTTGTTAAAGTATATTGGAGTTCAATAGTTAATAGTGTGTGGTTCTTCTGATAAATATTATGAAGTAGAAAGTTGGTATTAAAACTTTGTTGCAGTTGATTTCTGATCAGTTTAATATCATTAATGTCTTTGTTGTGGATGAACGTGAAATGAGATTTACCGTTTCTAATATTGTTCACCACTTTCAATATCGTTTCTAATTAATTAATTGCTTAATCACCTTTCAAATATTATCATTTGCTCGTTAATTATACTAAAGAAAGGAAATTACAAGCGTAATAAGAAGAAGACTTGTTCATGAACCTCTAAATTTACTAATATGGATAGAGATATACCCTTTAGTGTTGTCC